ATATATTTTTATATTTTAGCGCCTCGCTTCTCTCGGGCGAGCGCCTAACGCCTCGAGCGTTTTTGGACTCTGGTGCCTTTTGACGCCTAGCGCTTTTTAAATCACTGCTTACAACTTATGTATAACTAGTATGTTATTTATATGCAATATATTAAGTGTCAACATATATATATATATATATATATATATATATATATATATATATATATATATATATATATATATATATATCGGATTATCAGTTGTGTTATCAACTGTCATGCATATAAATATGGTGACTATTGTAGGTTTCAAACTCGGTAGACTCTGATATGAATTGACCTAGTTGGGATTGAACGAGGGCGATCTGATCCATCCCACAATATTGCAAAATTTATTGGGATCAAAGAAATTAACCAGAATGGTTTATTTTGGAAAAATCACATGACCCTGGTTGATTTCTAGGAAGCTGATCTTGAAAAAAGAAGGAAAAAGAGTAGAGCCGCAAGCTACAAAGAAAATAGAAAGAGAGGAGAGTTGAGTGGATGCCAGCTCTGAGAAGGAAATGAGTGAGAAGGCTGGACCTTAGTGGAATAGAGGAGAGAAGCATAGGAGGGCTTCCATGCTCTATCGTCACTATTCTTCATTTCTTTCATAATCGTCCAGTTTCACCATTCTTGTTGCTATCATAGCTTGCCTAAAGGTGGTCCTTCAGCCCCTATATATGCAGCCCCCAAACAAAATGGTTTAGGTGCAGCTTGAAGAATTAAGAGTTTTCCTTTTTATTTAATAACCTGATATTTTTGAGGTATAATATATGTTATTTATGTATGTTTTAAAATTTTAAAAGTTTTATTTTTTTAAGTTCTTTCTTTTTTAATAATTTTTTAATTTTTTAAATTTTGTTTTATTTCACTCTTATTGACCTTATCATGCCTATACAATTGGTATCATGTTGGTAGATCCTAATCTCGATTCTAATTTCGTGACATGCCATAGTGTATTGCAGCAAAATTTTGTTTTCAATAGGTGCTCGAGCGCTTGCATAGTGCTCGGGTGAGGTGTGGCAAGGCCCAAGCACCTCGTAACAAGTTCGAGTGAGGTGATTCAATGAGGTGCCAACCAGGCATGTGCCTTAGCCCAGGCGTTGGGCGACTCAGGTGTGCGATCGAGCCAAATAAAGCATGTGTTTGATTGGGCTCTGATTGGGGTTCAATCAATTGGAATTAGTTAGCTCAACCAAACCAACTAATCAACAACTTGCTCACCCCCTCCACCAATCGCACCCCCTCCTCTGCGCTCGACCTAGTGAAGACTCTAGCGAAAGAAACCCAACCATGAGCCTCATCCGCCCTACGTTGTCGTCTGCAGCGAATTCCTTCAGCTTACACTGTTGACTGCGAGCCTCCTGTACCCTACCTTGTTGTGTGCAATGAAGCCTCTTTCATCCTATGCTGTCGTGCACAACGTCTTCCTTCAGCTTATGTTGCCGATCGCGAGCCTCCTCTGCCCTACATCGCTTTGTGAAGTTTCATTTCTCCCCAATATGCAGCTTATGCTGTCAACTAGCTTCATTTCGCTGCCGATTGCCACCTTCCTTTGCCCTAAACACCACCATAGCCACATGAACCCTACTTGAGTAGGAGAACCCAACCTTCCTCCATCGTGCCTTGTTGTCTTCCTTGGTGCCATACCCCATAGCCTCCCATCAACTGGTTACTTCTCCATTTAACCATCTCCTTTTTCTCAGTCTATAGGTAACAACAACAATTTTGTCGGAAGGTACCATCTAGCTTAGTTGGTAAAGACTTTAATAGTTTATTATAAGATCGTGGGCTTAAATCTCACTTTTACCACTTACCTTTGCCAAAAAACAACAGTTTTGTTAAATGATCTCCTATTTCTTGTACTAGCTTGAGCACTTTGTTTAATGATCTCCTATTTCATGGACTTTGTTAAATTATTAGGAACTTATAAACACTATTAGGAGTTAGAACATAACAATACACTGTTAGGTAGATAATAAGAACACCTTGCTTTGCTCACTCGGTATATATATTTTTAAATTATAAATAAATAATAGGTATATTTTTTTATATTTTAATATTCATGAGCGCTTCGCTTCGCTCAAGCAAGTGCATGGGCAAGCGCCTGGTGCCTCGGACGTTTTGTCACCTTAGTGCCTTTTGGCACTAGCGTTTTTGAAAACACTCAGCCAAAGTTATCAACATTCAATTATTTTCTTTAATCTATTTTCTTTTATTAGCATCTTCTACTGTTGTTGCTATAAATAGTAAGCAAGGTTTGTACTACTGTCTGATGTGGCTTGGTATGAGTGTTGTTCATTGGTTGAACAACCTACCGGTACACAGACTAGTGTAACTGAGCCAAAGTTATCAACATTCAATTATTTTCTTTAATCTATTTTCTTTTAGTAGCATCTTCTATTGTTGTTGCGATAAATAGTAAGCAAGGTTTGTACTACTGTCTGATGTGGCTTGGTATAAGTGGTATTCACTGGTTCAACAACCTACTGATTCACAGAGTAGGGTAACTGGGTTGGATGCCCAATATAAGGCCTGTACCAGGCAGTTTATTTTATTTTTATATTTTCTGTCTTTTCTTCAGGTTTTTTCGAAACATGAGAAGTACCAGCATATAGGCCACTTGGGAGACTGGTATGGACCAGTAGAGCTTCGGTCCAAGCCCTGACCAGTATGCTTCCAGTACATGAAATGATGAACCTGGCTAGTAGTCATGCTTTATCTACAATACAAAACTTGTTGATCTTGTAATGATTTGTGTTCTGATGACTGATTATCAGACTGCTAATAATTTGATGAGGTTCCTAGTCAATAATGCATAATTCCAAGTTTTTTTTCTTTCTACTTATTAATGGATTTATAGAAGGGTAGACCTTAGTTTCCAACACACCTCCAGATCAGTAGCCTTAAGCTGATTCCAATCTGCCTAACCTTGTCTCAAAGTTCTTTGAATCTTCTTCTTGGTGTGTTTTCTAAAGTTTCTTCCCATGTTTTGGTTGTTTAGAACTTCTGACACTTTACATGCCACAATGTTATGAAGATCACTTTCTAATGAAGTGTATTTGACAAAATAATTGAACTTGTTGTGGCCCTACATTTGTGATCCATTTGATTCTTCTGAATTTATTAACCAAGATTTCAAATACTGCTGTCATTTTGCTCCATGTGATTCTATCGGGTAACAAACCTAGGCAATTTTTCCTATAATCATGTTGTCAAGTACCATGAATGACTGATTCCTGTCATCTTATCAGAAAGTATGCTTTTGCTGAATTATGGATTCAGCAGTGTACAAATTAGTTTGGGCTAGATGAAGTGCATGGTTCTCAACCCCAGCACATTGGGGACTGTGCCCTGATAAACAGGATGCTGTCTGATAACTTGTAGCCCTACTATTTTACCTTTCTTTCAGAAAGGTACCTGTCTTTCCTATCATAGCCAAATTCTACAGGTTCAAGTAATGCATTATGAGGAGACCTTGGAGTTTATGCAATAGTTGTAACTGGAAGCTTTGAGAAAAATGATGCAATAGTTTTAGCATCATTGTATGGATGCTTATGGATCAGCTGCCTAATCCTCTGGGGCAATTTTCTTTTAATTGGCTAAGATCAGGAATTGTTTCCTTATTGCCAAATGTGATGTTAATGGACATATCTTGATTTGTAAAAGTTGGTGGAGAAGATAACATGGCATTGATGCAGCAGAAGTAAAAAAATGCAGTAAACTTAGGTCACTGCTCGCCTGCATTAACTGGAGATAATATATAAATGGTTGTGGTCATTTTATGCACTCATTTTGAGTTTCAGTCTAGTTTTTAAATATTAGTATTAGTACTCAACAGAATATTACTGGACCAGTATGTATAGGTCGATAAGTATGGTATGTCATGGTTCACCTATAAAAACTGCTAAAATTTTGCTTAATATGTTCAGTATAGATAGTTGTAAATTGCATACTATTATACGAGCACATGGTTGGACCAGTATAGTGTGGTTGGTAAACCATGATAACTGAAATATTGTTGATAATAAGCAAAGAATTTGATGGCTTTGGAAATATGTAGCAGCCTTATAGTTGTGAAAATTGCCAATTACTTATGACAGGTGCATACAATCTCTCAAGTCAATTTAGACACAGAAATAGTTTTTAACTGTCAGATGGGGCGAGGACGAACAACGACTGGTATGGTGATAGCTACTCTGGTATATCTCAACCGAATAGGGGCATCAGGTAAGTTTCTATTTGTTTCTGAAATTTCTTAAGAACCTTTCAGGCTATTCATAACATGTCAAACCATCATACTGTATGTTTTGATTGTATGGACAGCCTGATATCTAGAAGGTTTCTTGAAGAATTTGTCAAGTTGTTTTTGCAAATCTTTGTTAACTACTACCAACTTATTGCCTAGGGCAGATTACTTCCTTTCCTTGTTAATCATGATCTTTAACTATTTCTTGTTTTGACAGTTCATCTTAGTTTCTGAATAGAAGTTGTGTATAACTTATTTTTAACAAATAGGTATTCCACGGACTACTTCAATTGGAAAAGTCTTTGCTTCTGATGGTGATGTTACTGACTATCAACCAAACTCTGAAGAATCAATAAGGAGAGGTGAATATACTGTAATAAGAAGTTTAATTCGTGTCCTAGAGGTAAAATCTTTTATGCCTATTCCATTAGTTTATTAATTAGATAGCTTGATCATCGAAAACATTATATTAAAGTGGCTTGTGGCTTTCTTGCAGGGTGGTGCAGAAGCCAAAAAGCAAGTGGATAAAGTCATCGACAAATGTGATTCTATGCAGGTGTCTTTTAGCTTGAGATATGCAAAATTTCTATTTGTCTTCAACACACACACACACGCACACACACACACACATATCTACTTTTGAACTAGTATCTGGATTTAAACTTGGAGCTAACATGTTTCTATCATCTGTGATCATAGTTTTTCTTAACGATAGTGTAATTGGCATAGTATTCAGAATTTACTCAATTTTTTGTTCAACAGAACCTAAGAGAAGCTATTGCTACATATCGCAATAGCATTCTTCGCCAACCAGATGAGATGAAGAGGGAGGCATTGCTTTCATTTTTTGTTGAATATTTGGAACGCTACTACTTCCTCATCTGCTTTGCTGTCTACGTCCACACAGAGAGAGCTGCTCTTCATTCGGTTTCATCTGATCAAATAAGTTTTTCTGAGTGGATGAGGGCAAGGCCTGAACTTTATAGTATACTTCGCCGGTAATTTTTAGTGATAAGTTTAGTATTTTATTTTATAGTATTTCTAGTTCGGTTTTATTTGACTAACTGAACAAGTTCATCTATTATTCTTGTGCCTGTAAATAATTGTTCATTCTACTCATGATTGTTAATATCTAATAACAAACATTGTTAACAGATTTTTCTTTCATTTTTCATCTGAGTTTGGCCCTGGCATTTGCTCTGGGCATTTTCTTCGCCGCTTCTTAACCTTGAAAGACGAGCCCACTTTATTTCTAAATAAGCTTCCATTCATTTGATCACTAATGAAGGTAATGCTAAGTTGATTGTTTTCCAAAATGGAAGGGATGTTATGTTGTCTTTGTTAATTATTTACTGCATATTATATCTGTTTGTGCCACTGTGAGAAACAAGGAAATTTCATTTCCTACTTGCAATAATTGTTCTTCAGTAAAGTTTGAATTTGAGAGAAATGTCTACTTTATCAGTTTGGTGATAGGTAACATGTGAACTTGTTGATTGGTCCATATTTAACCTTGAAAGAATCATTTTAATTTGGATGAATAAATTACTGCAATAATCATGTTTTTACATATTGTTTTTTCATTTATTATGATACAATTGGTACTTTTACAGGTTGCTACGGAGAGACCCAATGGGTGCTCTTGGCTATTCAAGCTTGAAGCCTTCTTCAACAAAGATTTCTGAATCTACTGATCACAGTCCATATGACGTGGGTGTGGTTGCTGCTATGAGGAATGGTGACGTTCTCGGAAGTCAGACAGTTTTAAAAAGCGATCACTGTCCTGGTTGCCAGAATCTTAGTTTGCCGGAAAGAGTGGATGGTGCACCTAATTTTCGGGATGCTACTGGGTTTCCAGTTTATGGTGTTGCGAATCCCACAGTCGATGGTATTCGAGTCGTTGTTCAGCGAATCAGAAGTAAAGGCGGACGGTCAGTTTTATGGCATAATATGCGAGAAGAGCCAGTTATCTATATAAATGGGAGGCCTTTTGTGTTGCGTGAGGTGGAAAGGCCATACAAAAACATGCTGGAGTACACAGTAATTTCTTTTCTTTGATAGACATCTGCAATTCTACACACTTCCAATCCATATGTTCGGCAATAAAATTCTTGAGTAGTGATTGCTGACTTTACAGTTAGAAAGTTTGATAGATTTGTGTAACCTTCACCCTTCTTTGATTACAACAATATCTACAGGCTAGATCCAAAGTGCCAGTTGCAAGGATCCTTTCCATTATTCAGCTCTATACTAGGACATTTCTCATGTTCGATTGCCTGAGGGCTTGCAGAATTGAATTAGCAAGGAGTAAAACCATAAACAAATTTCTTTTTCAAAAACATAATAATCATAAAATGTGAAAATTTACTAGTAAATTTAAGATAGTTAAAAAATTGTATTTGCATATCTGATTTTAAATGTATGATAGGGAACTACTATTTAGTAGGGGTAAATCACTCCTGAAACTTTCTAGGGATGGTTCATTCTCTCACGACATTGGTGTCTGGGATCCACAAATATGTGCACTGTGCATCATATTTATGTTTGTGTGAGAGAATCACCTATGAAAATCATTGAGGAGTCATTCACTCCTGCCAAATAGTGTTTTCGAATGTCATAATGCTAAAACATAAAATAATAAAATAGATCCTTTAAAGGAAATCATACTAATCTTGTAACTTCAAAAGTCAAAGGTGTTCCATAACTCTGCCTTCCCCTGGGAATGACTGATGAAAGGTTAGAGGTTTTCTAACCTCTTTGTCTTCACTTTCCTATTCTCATATCTTCTCGTGCAGCTAATCTTAATTTTCCTACTTGAGTTTCCAGTTCAATTGGTATAAACCTGGATTAGTAAATTTTATGTTGATTTTGACCAGTTCAATTTGTATCAACCTGGATTAATCAATTTTATATTAATTTTGATCAAGTTATATTGATTCCAGTTGTTGGGATGAGAAATCTATTGATTTTGAGCAAGCCATTCTGGATTACTGAGTCACATTGAGCTGTAAAATCGCATTTTATTGTTTTAGAAGTCTTCTTGAATCTTCCTCTCTTTGGACCACCAATCTTAATTAACTCATTTCTCTTAATAGGTTTATTTGTAGATCTTCTTTGGACATGTCAAACTACCTTTAGGTTTTCTGTCAATTTATCCTCAGTTGGGATTAACCTGATTATTCACAAACACAATTTTTCTTGTGTATCTTCTGTTGCATCCCCACATATCCATCTCACTCTCACCGACACTAACCTTTTTTGGGTTCGCTTTGTGTAATAAAATTACTTAATGCTTTATTCCATGTGTGGTGTCTAGTCTTTTGATTCTCTTTAATATGTAAAAAACAAAATATATTTTTTCTTGACTGTTGATATCAAGTTTTGGTTTGTCAGGGAATTGATCGTGAGAGGGTTGAGAGAATGGAAGCTCGGTTAAAGGAGGATATTCTTCGGGAGGCAGAGTTTTATGGTGGTACAATTATGGTGATTCATGAGACAGATGATGGGCAAATATTTGATGCATGGGAACATATAGATGCTGAATCTATTCAAACTCCATTGGATGTCTACAAACATTTAGAAGCCGAAGGTCTTCCCATTAAATATGCACGTGTGCCGATTACTGACGGTAAAGCTCCTAAAAGTTCAGATTTTGACGAAATAGCATCAAACATTGCTTCAGCACCCAAGGATACAGCTTTTGTGTTTAATTGCCAGGTACATATTTCTTGTAATTGCTTGGATCTCCTTTCTTTTTAGAGTTTGTACTAGATTCTGTTACATAAATAAATTTATAAATTCATGGAGATATTTCAATAATTTTGTCGCGTTACAGATGGGCCGCGGCAGGACAACTACGGGAACTGTAATTGCATGCCTCGTGAAGCTTCGCATTGATCATGGAAAACCTATTAAAATGCAGCAAGATGACACGTACCACGAGCACTTGGACATTGGCTCCTCAAGTGGTGAAGAATCCATAGGTGATAACGGACCACCTATTTCAGATCTACTGAAATCTGTGGATGGAAAAGAACCACGTTGTACTTTTGGAATTGATGACATCCTTCTATTAAGGAAGATAACAAGATTATTTGACAATGGAATTGAGTGCAGGGAGGTTTTGGATGCTATTATTGACAGATGTTCAGCTTTGCAGAATATACGTCAAGCAGTGCTACAGTACAGGAAGGTTATCAATCAACAGCATGTGGAGCCAAGAGTAAAGAGGGTTGCGCTAAATCGTGGTGCTGAGTATTTGGAACGTTACTTCAAGTTGATTGCTTTCTCAGCATATCTTGGAAGTGAAGCATTTGATGGTTTCTGTGGGCAAGGTGAAACTAAGATCTTGTTCAAAACTTGGCTGCACAGGAGGCCAGAGATCCAGACAATGAAATGGAGCATCAGATTACGACCTGGGCGGTTTTTCACTGTTCCTGTAAATTTCTTTATCTAACTTGATGATGTTGGAAAGTGCATGTTTGTATGCGCATGTTAAATTTCTTTTCTTCTGGTTCTCCATTGTCTGATTAAAAAGTTATGATATCTGTTGTGTCTAGGATGATTCAAAAGCATTTTATGAAGCTCAGGATGGTGATGTGGTGATGGATGCAGTAGTCAAGTCTCGCAATGGGTCTGTCTTGGGAAAAGGTTCCATACTTAAAATGTACTTCTTTCCTGGACAAAGAACTTCAAGCTGCATGCAGTTTAAGGGTACACCACATATATATAAGGTATATTTAACTGGTCTAAATTGATGTAGTTAGTTCACTAAGCAGTTGTTTTAGCAAGTGCATAATCTACTCCTATTTTTCTGTTGAAATTAGTTGTTGATAGTTTAGAAATATAAGTTAAATGTTGCCAAGGAATTTCAATGTGGATAACTGGAGGTGTCTTGTCCAAAATATCAATTTACAAGCTTGCCAAATTTTACTCCATGTTACTCAGAGCTATTTTATAGTATTTGTTAGGTTGCTCATATTCATGGTTTGCTGGTTTGTCTTATTTATCTATATCTTCACCTGTTGGGTTGGTTTATATCACTATGGCTCACCTTTATTATAAATAAATCATTCAGAAACTCAAGATAAGTTATAGCCTGCTTTGTTTCAGACAATTGCATTAAAGCCTCCTATTTGCTTTATAAAGGTCATGAACTTTCAGTGGAACATCATATAAGTAGTAGTCTGATGTAGACTTAGATTCTCACCGAGCCGGTAGTTTGTTTATCAAACTCATTTACTTGTCTCCCTTTTTTTCCTCTTATATTTTTGACACCGACTTTCTTGCCCTGTACTTAAAAAATTATATGCTGGCTTTGACATTTTAATTGATTTTAGAATAAATCCTGTTATGCAGGTTAGCATAATTATCGTCAGCATAATTAGCAATTTTCACAAGGATGGAATTGGGATCGGGATCGACAAGTGGAAACATGCTTAATATGCTCCAATAAGCATATATTTATTCAATTTGGCTGTCACTGGTGGAGTCTCATGGAAAAGTACAACATTGTCTAAAATCTTAAATAGTTCTATCAAAACTGCTCCAAGAATCACAATTTTCAATGACTTGCAATTTTTTGGGGGAACTTCCCAATACTTCACCATGTTCTTTGTTATGAACCTTGCAGCCTTTCTTGAATAGTTTGAAAACCAATTAGTGACCACCAAGTTCAAACAAAACCCTCAGCTTTGGCAAGCTCTTCCAAGATCTCTCTAGTATTGGCCAAGGGCCGAAAAGCCCCATAGTTTTCTACTCTCACCTTGTTGTGTCCTTTTGTCCTCCAATCTCCCCTCTCACCTCTAGATCCTCTCTTTCTCTTCTCTTCTTCATCTCCTTTTCCTTCTTTGTTTTCATCGTAAAAAATTTGATGCTACTATAACCCTAATTGTTGGACGATAAGATTCCAACTGAGAATCAGCTACAATCACTTTGTATTTCTGGAATATGTTGACTTTTTCCAATATTGGCCATCTTGATAAGTTCCGATAAATCCAATCAATTCCAGGAAATTTCGTCAATGATTTGGTTAAATTATTGGATCAAAAGGAGTCTGTCCGAATTAGAATCGGTCGATTTAGAGAACCATGACATGAATGGTGGCATATTCTCAAATTTTGGTTTTCAATCATTATGCTGGTATCTATGATCAATGTTTATAAAAGGCAGAGGCATTAACCAACTGAGCTTCAAGAGAGATGCGGCATACCTTTACATGTTTTATATTAGGAATGAATCTAAAATGCATTTATTCCATAATAAAAATAAATTTAAAAGAGAGATGAGGCATAAATCTAAGAGAGATGAGGCATACCTTTGATACCACCTTGCTCTGGAGAGTATGTTTGGAATTTTCTCCTTTTGTATAGCCTTCTTTTGACCCGTACCGAGAACTCTTTTCAAACTTCTATTGCTTTTCAACTTTTAAAACCAACTTGCTCACATCATTTAAAGACCAATATGGTTGGAGTTGAACCACTTTAGCAATATCATATTTCAGACTTCATAAGTATCTTGCAATGGTTTGGTCTTCTGTTTCCACAAGCTTTCCTTTTAACATGAGATTATCAAGCTTTGCTGTGTACTCTTCTACACCAAGATCTTTTTGCTTGAAATCATGGATTTTGAGAAAGATCTCTTACCTATAGTTGTTAGGTAAGTATTTTCTCTTCAACTCCCTTTTCATTTTCTCCCATGTCACGAACTTACTCTTCCCCTCATGGTCTCTTTGCTTTAGATTTTCCCACCAAAAAGATGCATTCCGTTTGAGTTTAAGTGCCACAAGCTTTACCTGTTGTTCTAGTGGTTCATGATAATCAAATATTCTTTCCATTGTATTAAGCCAATCAATAAAGTCATCAACATTGATTTTACCTTCAAACTCCGGAATATCCAATCTTGGGTTGTATTTGTTTTGCCACTCGTCATGGACTCCATGCCTTGCCCGAAATCTTTCCAACTCCCTTGAGTGAGGAGGTGTATCATCATCAGAAACATACTTTTGGGCATCATCGTCATGCTAGTTGTTTCTACTTCGAAATTCTTCAATGATTTCATTTTTTTCTTGTAGACTATGTAGCAATCTTCGTAGCTGTAGCCTTAAGGACTCAACATCAACTTCACGACCGCTACCTTCACCAATTACATCTTTTCCATTCTGCCTTGCCATGATCTCTAATGTTTAGGTTTGATACCAAACTGATACTGGGGTATTACGGAATGGATTTTGAAAGAAAGCCGATAGTACAGTTGTAATTGCTGGAATAAGTTCTTCGAATTGAAAAAGAATGAACTCACGATAATACTTTAATAAAATTGAAAAATAGCTCACCACCGAGCTTAAAATCACAAAGGGATACAAAAAGTTCACCACCCCAAGGAAAATAAACAAGGATACATAACTGAAAATAAAAGGCTCATCACTTAAGGAAGCATCCAAAAGATACAGAGTTTAAGAGAGAACTCCAAGAGAGTTTTTGCCAATATCATTAGTTTCTAAACTCCTTTCTAACCCTAAAACACCAAAATAAATACTAGTGCATGAAACAACCCTTCATGCATAGGGAATTACGAAATTAAGTGTTTTACAATTGGTAACTAACCCTTTTAATATATTCTTTGGTCATGAAGAAAAACACTTTGAAATAGCTTTAACTTCGTCTAAGGAATATGCTCATGAGCTGTCATATTTGAGTGGGCTGGGTTAAAGGCTATGAGAAAACATTGTGGGCTGTAGAGAATACTATAGGTTTAGTAAGATCCACACGAGCTAATTGTAGCAAATTAGGCACTCCCGTATCATTGTTTTAACTTGTCAATGACTCTTGACTCTGGTGTAGGGTCGATTAAGTTGTGTTGATCTTCATGGTTTCCTATGGATCCCCTAGATGAAGGAAAAGATCTTCCCTATCCTACACCAGTCCCTCCAACATCTATACCGACTAAACTGCATGGATGCTTATTGGAACTTTAATGACTATTGCCTCATAGACTTTAAAGTTTCGAGGCATTTCCTTCGTCAAAATTTGTCCATCGATTCCTCTTCTACTTAGTTGTCGCCTTTAAATAGGTTCGCATTACTTTTACTTTCAATTGACATTCTGTTGGTAAATGAAACGAACAATCTACTCTTGGTAGAATCGATCACCATTGGTGATGATTTGACAACTATTGTCTATCGCTAAGTCTCTTTGAATGGTATTTGAAAATGTGCAGAGTTCCATTGCCAGATAAATAAGAGAATTGAGATACTCAGTTTCGTCCATTCTCTTATAAGTTGAGAAGGCAAATGTTACTTGACTTTACTTGTCTCCTCGAGGGTTGTACGTTATGCATCAAGCTTGTTACTAGCCTTCACTTGCTTTTTCCTCACACTTCTAAAGCACCCGAAGTATATGCACTTCTTGCGTTGAGTTAGCTACTGTAATTTGCCCTCTCATTGCCATCAAACTTCAAGAATGCAAGAAGTGCCTGAAAAGAGCAAAATTTTGCCTCGACTAATGCAAGTCTCTATTAGTTTTGATTGGTTCTAGGATTGTATCAGCTTCTTCATAATTTGTGTCGCTTACTCCTTTAAGAAGAAATGGTACAATACCATGTATTTCCTACTTTGTTTCTTGGTCGAGCACCCTTGTATCAACCCGAAGTCCCTTATTTTTGTCTATCTTGGCAAGAAGCCTATCGACACTAGTCTTACGAAGTTCCCTATCTTCTACATTTTTGTATTGTCTTGGTACTTGGAGTTTACCTTTGTATTCTCTACCTCCTCGGCCCCTTCTACGATCATATGCTCTCCCTCCATGAGAGCAAGGGATCGATGACTCTACGGAAGTCTTGCCTCTCCAGTATCATGGCGTTGCCATGCTCACGACCCTATTATTCGTCACCTTACGTCTACTCCCTTTCTTTGCAATCGGTAGATTCGCCTCTACGATACTGTGCACTCCTCTAAGTCTACCTCTATCCTAATCGATGCATGTTTTGGGTAGCTAAGTCTCTCTGGACTCATTGTTGCTTCCTCATCCCTTTCGACCACTTGCTTTAACATTTTTGTGTTCTCCAAGTAGTTCCCCTTGGTCGATGAAAAGACAAATCGTAACTCTCATGCATGGCCTCCGTTATTATGTTGCAGGGTCCACGTCGATTTTGTTCTCCTTTGTATCCTTGGTAGTAACATTCGCTTGCTTAGCCTTGTCCTTCGACTTGTTGAGCTCCCTCGAGCGAATATGAGCTCCAAAGCAATCCAACTCTCCAATCACTCCGTTCATACCTTTGTATGATCAAGTCTTATATAGCTCTTGATATATAGCTCCTTGGACTTGGAATCTCCTTCAGTGATATATAGCTCTTATATGTTGATGACCAAGGCTTTTATCTGATGGAAAATTCGGTGCACCTACGGAAGACCTACTTCTGTGGTACCATGACATTCACCCCTTGAATCCATAGCCGTTTTTGCTGACGTGTTGCTCACCGAAGTGGAGCTCGCAGTAGCTCTTGATCATACCTTTATATGGTCAAGTCTCATGCGGGACTTCTTGCAGGGTCTCCGCTACCTTCGATTATGTTCACTCCTTTGGTATTGACCTTTATCCACCCATTCTCGGGTCACACACGGACGAAGCGCAGCTCTAGGACAGTCCATCACCTAGCAACTCTCGAAGTCCAACTTTGTTGAAATTTAGGTGTCATTGTTTAGATCTTGGGCCCTTGTCCCCAGCACAATCTCTGC